ATAACAAGAGGGACGATAAGAACCATCTTGGTTCACGAATTCCAATAGAATATTAACAAATTAACTATAAATATTTTAAAGTATTGGAACAGCCGCTGTAGTTGTAGAGACTTTAGATTTTACAGCCAATTGTATATTATTTATATTGTATGTATATATTAACTTTTAAAATATGTACAGTAATAGTGGCTTCTAACTGTATTGATGTAAAAGTGTCCCCTGAAGATGGTCTCTGAAGACCGAAACATGTAAGGGCATGAATAATTGAAAGAATAAAAAGAAAGTCTTAACCAGTTACATTGGACGGAACTATTTAACTTTTTCATAATTGGAATTATCTATTAGAACTCCCCACATTTATCTTCTTCGAATTTATTTTTAAGTACCCGAAATTAAGGCGACTCCTCTTTTGTATGAAGCAGTATTAAAAAATTGCCTTATATTTGGGTTATTCGATATATTATAACATGAAAAAGTATTCGTATTTTCCTAAGAGAGCATTTACCAGGAATGGAAGTTGCAGCCATCGTGAATTCAAGTCTAGAAGATTTCCTGTTAAGAAATTAAACTGCAGATGCATGGTAGAAACTTGTTTTGCTGTGTTTGGTTCAGTAAAGAAATTGTCACTTCTGGTATCCCTCTTTTGGAAAGGTGTCTTCCAAAATCCCTTGAAGTAGATGGCATTGACCAAGACCAAACGGGTTGAAGCATCTAACAAGGCTGTAACAAGATTAATTTACAGTTAAATTTTGTGTACTCATTCACAGATGTGTACTTTACCGAGTACTGTGATGTCTCTTCACCTGGAGACAGAAGGTCCTGGATTTTGTTGTGTGTGTGATCTGCAACCCATGAATTTATCTCTTCAGCAGCTGCAGGGGGGTCAGAAAATAGCACAGACTCAACTGTGGATTGGAAGTCTTGTTCTAAGACGTTCTTGAACTGAGATTTTACTTCATATCCTTCTTTGAGAAATGCACCGTTGGCGAATTCCAGGGTCACATTTCCAGAAGATTCCTGTTGGATATAAATTTAATTGTATATAATATGTTAAAAATAATAATGTATGCCTTCACTATATCAACTAACCAAGACGACTCCCTAAAGAGTCAGGGCTGCGAATTTGGCCATTTCTACAAGTTGACTACTTATTTAGTAGCTGTCAAATGCTTATCACGTCATATACGCCATTTTACTTGCTGATTTACTGTATTTCATTTGATGTCATACGTGCAATACCTTCTGTCACATGGCCACTAAGTGGATTATGTCTAAGGGTTCAGAGCCAAAGGAGGTCACTGATCTAAATTCAAGGACATTTCCCGCCCAACAGTAGTCTCTAACGTCTCTGATAGATGGGGGAAGCATTATAGATACCGCCAAGCCAGTATAGGCCGAACTCGCTGGCTCGGTCGGGACTGATGGTACGCACCAATATCGGTAAGGTATAGAGACTGGGAGAATATCATAGAGGGAAGCACAATGGACCAATACTAGTCTCAGTGCATGGGGAAACCCACCCTCTCCAATAACTAACTAACTAAGGGTTCAGAGACTGAAAGTTCTTTCTACATTCCAGTATGTGGTGGCAGAATCGTGCAAACATATATCTGCGTTTTGTAACGTTCAAAATAAATATAATACATAAATTACCCATAGCATACACTGTAAGTAAAAAGCACATATGCTCGTGTGTGTTCATCACTTGATTGTTTGTTATTTAGCAGTGCTATTAGTGTCAAGGGGGCACGCGGTAGCGTAGTTGGTTGAGGCACTACGCTACAAGCCGGACGGTCGCGGGTTCAAGCCCCAATGAGGTAGATTTCTTCAATTTACCTTATCATTCCAGCCGTACTATGGCCCTGGGGTCTACTCAACCTCTAACAAAAATGAGTACCCGGAATATTCCTTTGGAGTAAGGCTGAAAACCTTACCGCCATCTGTGAACCGATTGTCTATAAGATGTGGGAAACTCGACGTCTCATAAACCTATGGGCCTCCACGGCCTGTTACAGCGACAAATTTGTCTTTACTTTACCTTTATTAGAGTCAAGACTACATAGTGTCTATATACTCATCACAACATGGCTTAAACTCCAGGCCTCTTCGGTTATACGAACTAAAACCGCACCTTCCAGATTTGTCTTAAGTCACTTACATCCTCTACCTTCTAGTTAATAAAAGTAAATAAGTAACTGTATCCCTGTAACAGGCCGTGGAGGCCCATAGGGTTGTGAGATGTTGAGGTTCCCACATTTTCTAGATAATCGGCTCATAGATGGTGGCAAGG